GCTTCTGGAAAGCCTTGGAATCTCTGAAACAGTTTACTGGCAGTATGAGTCGCAATCTACTCGACACATTTTTATTGTTTTTTAATGCCTAGTTCCTGGAAAATTTTCATTCTTAACTTATGAAACAATATAAAGAAAGAAATACTGAGCAGTTGGTCATGGACTCTTTAGTCATCTACCGTCCATCACTGTGGTGAATACACAAGAGGGTTTCATAAAGTTCGTGGATAAGTAGAATTAAAAGATTATTGAATTTTCCATGAACTTTATGAAGCCCCCTTTGTAGAGGTGATTTTTGGAAAAGTAGAAGGGAAGCTTATAGTGTAGTTGGAAAAGCAGAGCATTATTGTGTATAAGATTTTAATCTCTGTAAGCACATATACACCTACAAGTAATTGGTCTGCAGTAGATACATTGAGTGAATGGATGTACTCAGGAAATGAGCAAGTTGTTAGGATATTATGTAAGTTAAGAAAATAAATGTTTATGGTCACCCTCATGATTCCTGAAACAGTTTACTGTTGAGTAATAGAATGATAATATATATTTTATATTTCTTTATTTTCTTTACCCTAAAACTCCCTGAAAATGCATAATCAGATCACTTTGATTAAAGCTTAGGTCTCTGACTTAAAACCTGAGTTCTTTTCTCATGACACATTGCCGACTGAAACACAGTATTAGATGATTTAAATAAATGCCAGAGTTAAGTTCAAGAAAAAAAAAAAAACCTAAAATAAACTCAATTGTTTTTTAGACTAATGATTGTATATTGATTGTCTCATTTATTTAGTTTGAGTTGGACCTTTTTGTGTGAATAATTAGTAACCAAATTATGTCAGATGACTAAATTTGCTGCTGAGGATCCTAACTGTTATTTTCCAAAATGCTGATGCAATGTACATACACTTAAATGGTGCATAATGTGTTATAATGTACTCATGAGGAATCTGTACCTGAACCAAGAAGCAGTTGTTCAAACAGAGCATGGGAACACTGAATGTTTTAAAATTAGGAAAGGTGTGCGACAAGGTTGTGTTTTTTCACCATACTTATTCTACCTGTATGCTGAGCAAATAATACGAGAAGCTGGGTTCTATGAAGAAAAACTTGGCATCAGGATTGGAGGAAGACTCATTAACAACCTGTGATATGCAGATGATACAACCTTGCTTGCTGAAAGTGAAGAGGACATTTACTGATGAAGATCAAAGAGCACAGCCTTCGATATGGATTACATCTCAATGTCAAGAAAACAAAAATCCTTACCACTGGACCAATAAACAACACTCTTAACAACGGAGAAAAGATTGAAGTTGTCAAGGACTTCATTCTTCTTGGATCAACTATCAACACTCATGGAAGCACCAGTCAGGAGATCATACAATGTATTGCATTAGGCAAGTCTGCTTCACAGGAACTTTTTAAAGTGTTGAAGAGCAAAGATGTCAGCTTGAGGACTAAGGTGCGTCTGACCCAAGCCATGGTATTTTCAGTAACCTCATATGCATTCAAAAGCTGGACAGTGAATAAGGAAGATTGTAGAAGAATTGATGTCTTTGAATTATGGTGTTGGAGGAGAATACTAAAAGTGCCATGGCCTGCCAAAAGAACCAATAGATCTGTTTTGGAAGAAGTGCAGCCACAGTGCTCCTTGGAGGGCCAGGATGGCCAAACTTCGTCTCTCATACTTTGGACATATTGTCATGAGGGAATAGTTGCTGGAGAAGGATATCATGTTTGGTAAGGTGGAGGGTCAGAGGAAAAGAGGAAGACCCCCCAACCAGATGGTTTGGCCAGGTGGCAGCATTGATGGACTCAAGTGTGGCAACAGTAGTGAGGTTGGCCCAGAATCGGACATTGTTTTGTCTACTGTGCATAAGGTTGCTATGAGTTGGTGCCGACTCGATGGTACCTAACAACAACAACAACATAATGTATTAATAACTATGTTTTTTCCCAAATAGTCAAAATATTTTCTTGTGTTGTTGGTTGGTTGGTTATGTTCCGAGGCGTTGGTTTTATTGTGTACTGGTATATTATTATGCATGTGTATTTAAGACATGAAGTGTGCCTTTTCTCAGTAATAAATATATAAGTGGTGCTGGTGGTGTGCTGTGGAGTTGGTTCCGATGCAAAGAAACCCTGTATAAGGTTTCCAAAGTTATGAATCTTTACAGGAGCAGAAAGCTGTATCTATCTCCTGTGGATCAGCTGGTAGATTCCAACTACTGTCCTGTTAGCAATCCAGATTGTAATCCATTATGTTACCAGAATTCCTTACAATATATGTTGTTGTTGTTAAGTACTTTTGAGTTGGTTTCAACTCATAGCAACCTTTTACATTGTTTCTGAGGAGCAGCTGGTGAATTTTAACCTCCAAATTGCAGTTCAAACTGACCGTGCGGTTCAGTGCTTATCCTACAGCGCCACATCAGGACTCCTTATAAATATATAGAAAGTGAGATAAAAATCTTAGTAATATAAAGGATATTGTTGTTGTTGTAAAGTGCCGTCAAGTCAGTTCTGACCCATAGCCACCCTGTATAGGGTTTCCGAGGAGTAGCTGGTGAGCTTGAACTGCTAGATCTATGAATAATTGAATAATATGTGATTTGTCTGTTGGAGTGATGTGGAGAACCCTAAGATAATTGAGTATTATGGTATTGATAGAATTGCATTGCTGGAATTTTGGAGAAAATTGTGAAATACACCTACATCAGAATTACTGTATTAGTTGATTTCACCATTACTAAATTATATGAGGTTTCTTAAGAAAAACAAAAGAAAACAATGTAATATTTAAGACATTACGGTAAAGGAGCCCGGTGGCACAATGGTTAAGTGCTTTGCTGCTAACTGGATGGTTGTAACTCATCCACTGATTCCTGGCAATCTGCTTTCTGTAAAGATTGTTGTCTGCCACCCAGTTGACGCCGACTCTAATGACGCTCCAGGACAAAGCAGAACTGATCCACAGAGTTTTAGAACCTTTATGGAAAGTAGACTGCTGCCTCTTTCTCTTGCAGTGGCTGGGGGTTTTGAACTGCTAAGTTTTTGGTTAGCAGACATACACTTAACCACTGTACCACTAGGTCTCTCCCCTAAAGGTGTTGGTGGTTGTTAAGTGCTGTCAAGTCAGTACTGACTCATAGTGACCCTGTATAATCTTTCCGAGGAGCACCTGGTGAGCTTGAATTGCAAACCTTGCAATTCAAACCTACCTTGCAGTCTAGTGCATAAACCCGCAGCACCACAAGTGATGGTGGTTGTGGTTATGTGCCGTGGAGTCGGTTCTGACTCATAGTGACCCTGTACAGGGTTTCCAAGGCTGTAAATCTGTACGGGAGCAGAAAGCCTCATCTTTCTCCTGTGGAACAGCTGGTAGTTTCGAACTGTTGACCTTAAGGTTCACAGCCTGATTTGTAACCACTACGCTACCACACAGGTCTCCCTAAAGATTACAACCAAGAAAATTCTAGTGGACAGTTCTACTCCGTCACATGCGGTCTCTCTGAGTTGGAATTGACTGGATGGCACTTAACAACAAAAATTAAGGTAAGGATTAGGAATAAAGTGAAACATTTTGAAGAACTATACTTTTATTATGAAAACTTTTACTTTTGGTTCTAAAGCATTTTGCAAGTTCACCATGAAAATGGTATTAAATATGACTTCTTTAATATGTATCCTTTATAAGGATAATTTGATCTGTAGGATCAATGACAGATATACTTTATGTATTTCATTTAATTTGCTACACCCAGAAATAAATTACACGAGTTATCTCTTTGGTTGAAATGAAATTTGATTTATTTTGCTTTTTTATTGTTCTTGAAGCCCTAATGTTTAAAGTATTTCTATTATCTCTGAGTAAAACAGATTTTGTTTTATTGAAAAAATTATGTTGATATTATTGAGTTCATCATTGCCAAGAGGTATAGCTATCAATAGCTGGTTTAAAGTAAAGGCTGGAGAAAGAAGGCAAGGAAAAATGTGGGTGAATGGCAACATGTTCGACGCAAAGGGGGAGAAAGAGAGAGAGCGAGGGGAACTAAGAGAATTCTGTGCAATCAGGCTAAGTCCCTTCCCTGTATTGTACAAATGGCTTCTTTTAGCTATTAATTTAAAGGTTGGTGGTTTGAACCTACTTACTGGCACCATTGAAGCTATGCATATGCCTGGCAATCTGCGTCTTTTAAGAGAATCCCATGGAAGTCAGTTGTCATCTGACACACATGGGCAAAATAGAAGGAGTGCTTATAGTATAGTTAAACAGTTGCAGAGTATTATTATGTTTTGTATAAGGTACTTTAGCAAATTGTAGTCTAAGTATCTGCACCACAAGTATGTTAAAACCAAAACCCAACTTGTTGCTTTCAAGTTGATTCCGACTCATAGCGACACTTTAGGACATAGTAGAACTGCTCCACAGTGTTTTTGAGACTAGATCTTTATGGGGGTGGTGGTGGTTGTTAAGTGTCATCGAGTCAGTCCCGACCCATAGCGACCCTGTACAGGGTTTCTGAGGGTGTAAATCTTTACGGGAGCAGAAAGCCTGATCTTTCTCCCGCGGAGCAGCTGGTAGTTTCGAACCGCTGATCATCTTAAGGTTTGCAGCCCGATTCGTAACCACTACGCTACCAGAGAGTACTATGCTAATATACAGGATTTGAGTTAGGCTCGTTCATTCCATCAAGTGTTGAAATGAAGGGATTAACAAAAAATTTTTTTATATAAAAAATATTTATAGATAGTATAGTGAATGCATATTGGAGTTAAAACTAAATTTATTTTCCCATCAGAATTGTTTTCTTCATCAGAGTTCAACTCACTTTCACTTTTGTTGCAATGAAAATAAGCATGTCTTTGAAGAACAATTTAGCAATAAATATATTGGCCAATAACGCTTTCTTGAAGTGTATAAAAGCGCTACCAAAATAAGTTAGAAAAATGTATTTAAAGGATAATTATGCCTTTTCCGCCCTGGGCCCGGAAGGGTGATGTGGCTGGGGCTTCGCCGGCCTCACTATGTCTGCCATTTTCAATTTTCAGAGTCTGTTGACTGTAATCTTGCTGCTTATATGTACCTGTGCTTATATCCGATCCTTGACACCCAGTGTCCTGGACAGAAATAAAACTGGATTGTTGGGTATATTTTGGAAGTGTGCCAGGATTGGTGAACAAAAGAGTCCTTCTGTTGCAGTATGCTGCATAGTGATGGCCTTCAGCATCCTGTTCATACAGTAGCTTGGGAAAACTCCAGAATTTAATTGCCATCAAATTTCAATATGAAAAAGGACTATCTGCAGAAAATAACGGAAAGAATGGTTAACCCTTTTATCTCTGAACATTGAGTGAGATACATTTCCAGCTGCTGTTCTCCAATTTTGTTATTGGACCAATGTTCTCTATAAATACTCAATGAGTTTAATATGTCAGTATGTTTGTAACAATCAACCTCAGTATTGTCACTACAATAATACATTCTGCCAGTGTTGTTCTGTTGTATCAGATACCAATTTTCAGTGAGATATCTTTGGGTGTATATATATATATATATATATATATATATATATATAATATAAAACAAAATTGGTAGTTATTACTCAAATTCTTTTTACTGTGATTTGGAAAGGATAAATCTTTATAGAATGAGACTTTTTTTCTTTTAAGACTACCTTTTTTTTTTTTTTAACGGGGGGGAAAAATGGCTCAATGTATGGTGGTAAGGATTGCATTCATATTTTATAATGCTTGCTTTTCCACTGGCCACACCATTTTGAATGCACGTTAACCAGAGTATCTCAACCCTTATGAAACTCTGTAGTTTATTATAGACTTTTTAGCTATTTAAAGTAAGATTATGCATTTCTTAGGAAGGGAGATAAATGAGATGTGTGTTAAGAGTATTATTAGGAAAATGTTCATATTTAACATAACTTTAAACTAGTTGACTGTATAGTAGCCTCTGAAACCTCTGGTCAGGTATAGATAAATGTCTTGATAACACAGATTTGACCAAATCTGTCTCTGAATAAGAATCTCCATTCTTAGAACAAAAAGAACAAAACAGAACAATTATTTAAAAAAAAAAAAAAAAAAAGAAGAATTAGAAGATTAAATGTAGTGCTAGATTGATGGAAAGGTTCTAGTGATATAAATTTAGAATGGAAGAAAATCATTATGCGGTGGTGCAAAAAAGGAGAGGGTGAGGTTAGGTGAGGTGAACCTTCAATGAGAATTATATTTTGCATTGTGTTGATGGATCAGTAGGGGTTGTTTTGGTGAAGGGGAACTTAGAAATCCCATCACACTTGGTATTCTTAGAATAAGTTTCTCCCTGGCAGTGAATAGGACTTGGTTACTGTATTGCAGTGTAAATTTTCTTTGACTCACCTTCTGAAACCTTGATTTCTTTAATTCAACAAGCATTTAACTGTCTATGTGTTGAAAATACTAAGATCCTAAGATACCATTCTTTTCAATAAGCTCGTAAACTAGTTCATGATGGATAAGTATTAGATAATGTGGTAATAGCATCTGTTTGGAAGTTTCATTGGTTTCACCCCCTAGCCACAGAATTTGGAGTTCCTTATTATCTATCACACTTATTTGTAATCTAGCTTTCTCGGTTTACAAGGGGTCTAAACACAACAAGGTAAAATACCTGGGAGAAAGATGAGGCTTTCTGTTCTCCTGAAGATTTATTGCCTTGGATACCCTATACAGGATTGCTGAGTCAGAACAAAGTAAATACTTAACCTTCTAGAATCTTGGGTTGCTTTTGAGTTTTTATATCTGACATAATCTCATTTGTGTCTTGATCTTTAGTTAGGAATCAAAGTTTAGACAAGGCCATAACGGGAGCACTTTTAATGAGGGTGTAGTATTAATAACAAAACTACATTTTAGAAAATGTCTCCCTTTTAGCATTAAAGGAATTAGAAATCTAGTGAATTTTGTAAAGAAACATTTAGCATTAATCAAAAGAGATACCCATTTACATGACTGGCTCTATCACACTGTTTTGAAGAGGCCTTTCTTTAGCTTTTGGCTGTTTAATGAAAGGCTGGCAGTTCAAACCCACTCAGTGGCTCTGTGGGAGAGAACAGACCTGATCTGCTGTGTAATGAATAAGCTTAGGAAACTCTATGGACAGTTCTGTTCTTTTTTTATAGGGTTGGCTGTGAATTGGAATGAGCTTACATTATTTTGTTATTCTGGTATATATTGTTTATTTTGTATCAAAAGAATTGCTGTTAGAATGCTTGGGAATAAGATTGCCATTCCTGTATGGTATAAAGGCTACACTTAATAAACAAACAAACAAAGAAGCAAACAAACAAAAACAGTTGGCTTGGAAAATGTCCGTGAATTTTTTTTGGTATTATGTTGTATTAATAATACTATATTGAAAGCTTTCAGCTCATATTGTTTAGAAAATACACCCACTCCTCACTTATTTATATGGTTATATTCCAAAGACATGTCATTATGGGAAATCAGCAAGAGTCTGACTGTGCCCCATCTTCAGCATCAGTGTTGTTTCCCTCCCACCCCAGTCTGCACCTCCTGTCACTCATAGCCCTCTGTAAGAACTCCTGACCTGTCTTTGGATGTGTGTGGCAGGGTATCCTATATTCCGTACCACCATAAGGTGTTGCCTGCTGCTTATAGCATCCTGCCCTGGGTAGGGAGGGACCTCACTCATCCTTTGTCTGCCCCAGGCCCTCAGCCTTAGGAGGTCCCCTTCCGGGCCCCCTCTGACCTTCCTGGCATTTGAGCTCCCTCTGCCTGCCTGTGACCTTACATTATCTCTCTGTGGTCTGACCGAAATGTTGCATATGAATGGGAGGAGTCTGCAAGAAAACATGTGGAGGCTATGCCTGACTTCCTCTGGCTTCACAAAGGGGAAGGAGAATGAAACTCAACCAGCCAAAGACAGTGTCCTTGAAGTGGGGGTCAAACACGCTTCCATCCCTCCTACCTTTTTTACCTTATTCTGACACCAGCCATCCCTCCCACAGCACACCGCTTCACTTCTGGATTCGATAATCCATTGCAATGGCCACACAGCACTCACGCAATACTCAGATTATGGGGTTTATTAGGGAAGTGAACACGGATTTCAACTCAGGATGCAGCAGTTTTCCAATCGGAACACCTTGTTCTTGTCTTTGGCTTCTCAGCCTCTCGGCCTCTGCCCTGATCGGGTCAGTCTGTAAATGCCCAACGGGCACAATCTGCGAGCCTGTCTGCGAGCCTGCTTCCTGCCTGTAAGCCTACAACTGCTCTGGCTCTCCATGCCACCGCCACTGCCATTGCCTCTGCTGTCACCAGTTTTCTAGGTAGAGAACTCAACTCTGCTCTGCTTTCTTGATGGTTCCTGCTTTTGAGATGGCTCCTTTTAAACCTAGCTGGATGGCAAAACTAACCAATCCCAGCAATAGAGTCCTGGGACCCTTTGTGTGTTCCACCTAATTATTTGGTGGGAATTAAGAAGACTGTGGGTTGAAAAGTCATATCCAATAAATTTAAGGTTCCACAGTGTCTCACTGTCAGACTGCTGCTGCCTCTTGTGTGCTTAGTTATCTCTGGGGCTTCCTGCATATCATTTGGGGTGACCCACAGAAGATACTCTGGGCCGCTGCAGTTCCAAGCAGGGCCTGGACCATTGGAGACACCACCCGAGAATTTTTTCAAAGCTATTGTCAATGAGAAATGTCAGATAACAAGATAGTCTTTTAAGTGAGTTAATGGTGGTTGTATGCTACCGAGTTGGTTCTGACTCATAGTGACCCTTTTATAGGGTTTCCGAGGCTGTAAATCTTTATGGGAGAAGAAAGCCCCATCTTTCTCCCATGGAGTGACTGGTAGATATGAACTATTGACCTTGTAGTTAGCAGCCTACCTCATAATCCTCTACGCTACCAGAGCTCTTTAAGTGAGGAGTAGATACAAAATGATTAAAAAAAAAATCTGTTTCTCAATTTTAAAAGTTTGCCATGTCTGAAGATTTGACAGCTATGCCATATTTAGAAGAGCCCTGCTGGTGTAGTGGATAAGCACTGGACTGCTAACTGAAATGTGGGCAGTTTGAACTCACCAGCCCCTCCATAGGAGAAAGATGTGAGTGTCCGCTTCTGTAAAACTCATACCTTGGCAATCCTATAGGGCAGGCCTACTGTGTCGTTCCAGGGCTGCTGTGCATTGCAGCTGACTCACTGAAGTGGGTTTGATTTCTTTTTTATTTACTTTTTTGTGATGTGATAAAGCATGGCCAAGTGTTAGAGGAGGGCAGAGGTTACTGTAGAAAGCGTTCTGTGATATATAGAACTGATCTATTGCTATGCATACTCAGCAAAAGTTCTCTTTGGTAGGCCATGTTGTTGTTGTTAAGTGCTATCAAGTTGTTCCAACTCATAGCGACCCTGTATAGGGTTTCCAAGGAGCAGATGGTGGGTTTGAACCATCGACCTCGTGGTTAGAAGTCTAGTGCTTATACTACACTGCCACACCAGGACTCTATGCTAAGGGTAAAATAGATAGTAATCTAGTCAGCTTACTGTTAATGGAAATTCAAAAGAAGCACGTGGAATATGGGTACATTCCATGTTCAGATTTTTAATGGATATTTCAACTGTTTCTTCTCATTTTGGGTTTGTCCCATCAGCAAATAAAAGTTCTGAAAGCGTAACACCATCTAAATCTTTAAGGTAAACTCTACTTTGAGGAGGCAGCTATTTGTAGCCATATTTTGAGTGCCTTCCAACCTGAAGGGGCTCATCATCTGGCACTGTAGCTGACGCTGTTGTTGTTAAGTGCTGTTGAGTCGGTTCTGACCCATAGCGACTCTGTATAGGGTTTCTGAGGAGCAGCTGGTGGGCTTGAAATGCCGACCTTGTGGTTCAAACCAACTTCACAGTCCAGCGCATTAACCCACAGCGCCATACCAGGACTCCATATCTGACACTGCTCCTCTGTTATTCGTAAAGTTTCCAGCAGCTAACCATTTACAAGTGGTCCACCTCTCCTCCTTCCTAGTCTGTCTTAGTCTGGAAACTCGCTGAAACCTTTCCATCATGGTTGGCCCTCTGGTATTTAAAATACTGATGACATAGCAAAAGGCAAACCACCATAGTATGGCAAACTGACAGGTGAGTGATGGAATACATACATGCATGCTTATGTTTGTATCACTATCAGTGAGACCGCCTAGATAATTCTGTCTTTGAATACTGGACCTTAGATCTTGGTACCAAGTCTTTGGGATTGGCACTGATAATTCAAAGACAGGGGTTCAATCTTAGGACAAAATGAGGCAGCAGCCAGAGTAGGAACCTCCAAAAGGCCCAAAATCGAAGCTTCATTAAAATAACTGAGATATAAACAAGGTTAGGAGGAGGATACATGAGTGGAAATAGAGTGAATTTCAGAACAAACTAGAAAGCCTAGTCACTAACCTTTAAAGTTGGTGTGAGTTAGTGTGAATGATGATTTGGTCCTGACTCCTCAATTTGGTCTGAAGCTGCTT